AACAAATACCACAGTGGGTCCTGCAAGAGGGAACAGGAAACAAAGCAGTAGTCCTGACATTACCTCAGGGATTTGGGGCTCTATAAGATTGTCCCAGAGTACAGAGCGTGCGAAAGCGTTTTCAATCCCTTCTTCCTCTATTTGAAATGACACAAGAGAATTTGAGTGCAAGAGTCTACGTAACCTGGGCAGCATCGTGCTCATGTTGGCCTCGCTGAGGAGCCTGCTCAGAAGCCCACAGGGACCCCTTGAGCATGGAGCTGATGCACTGTGCTGGGGTACTCTGGAGATCATCGTTCCAGTGAGATTTTTATCAGCTGAAGAAATGTTTAAGCAGTCCCTTGCCCTTCCTGGTTGCTCATTTCGACCGTCTAGGTATCTCCCCACATATGCCAGTATAGTGGTTTCTGCAGTCAGTCATGATCAGAAACACATACAATATCAGAAAGATATCATCCAAACATTTTAATAGCTAACACCAGGACAACCACTGTGTCTGATATACTTTGGATTACAACTAAGACGAAGAAAACTAACTAGTATTAGGAGCAGTATCCTTCAGATAGCTGTGAATGGGTCCACAATGTGGACTGGGGGCTTGGGCGGTAAAATACTTAACCCAGGTGTAAACATTTGCTTATTATATTGCAATAAGAGTCCAACCAAATCCTATTTATAGAAGTAAATATTGCCAATGAGTATGCTGCTTGAGAACACTTTAATCTTACTTTTTTTCAGATTGTAATATTGATCATCTTGTTTTTCCACAAAAAAAACTTCTGATGACCTTTTTCTGAAGCTATTTAATCCTTGAGTTGAAATGGAAAAAAAAAAAAAAAAAAAGGAAGCTCTAGCTGCATCTGAATTTACTTCAAGAGAGTACCAGAGAGTTAACTGATTTCATAAAAGGGGTTACTAGCCATTCAATACAACACAGAGATCAAACATCCGATTTTGAATTTAGCATGCAAGAAAGACCAAAAAAAGTTTCCTTCCCAATGGGAACAATATGGCTGCCCTATGCTCACAGACTGAAGTTTAGACACAATAAAAGGTGTGGGTTAAATTGAGTGAAGTACATCAAACCCAAAAAGCTCACCAAACCTTAGCTCTCCTAAGGGTGATTAGGTTCCAGAAATTAGCTGTTCTTTGCCTAAATTTCCCAAGTGACCCAATCTACAGGAAGCATCTAAGAGTTGTCATTTATTCCTGCTAAATTTTGAGAAAGGCAGGATGTTAGACACAATCTTTTCCAAAATCATATGCTGACTTACTCTAGCATCTTCTGCTAGAGTAATATTAAACTAGTTTGGATTAGCATGCTAGGATGCCCAAATTCTCTGTGGGCTAGAGGAGTGGCAACACTCGCTCTACAAACCGTTCTGAGCGAAAGGCAAGTGCTGCAACAGCTTTCTCATAGGTTTCCAAGCCTCTCATTAGATTTAGCCATGAATTCCCAAAAACAAAGGAAAAAATAACGATATCATAGTGATACAGATATATTACATACATATAGCCAACAGGAAACCACAGCCAACAGGAAACCACAGACAATTAACTTGAGAACCACAGCCCGGGACCCTCAGCAACTCGTGCCAGCAGTAGGGTGCGTTCTTATCCTACACACGTCAGTAAATGAGAATTAAAACAACAAATGGAAAACGAAGTTCGTAGTTTAATCTGGAAGAGGAGAAAAACTCCTCTGTTATTGCGGAATTTTTAATTCTATTAAGTAGATGGATACAGGCTGTCCAAGCTAAAAAGCCAATGCATTTAAAAGGCTTAAAATTATACTTCCGGGAATATCTACTTCAATTCATCATTATTTTAAAACAAATTACATGTATTTTCTAACCTTCTTCCTAAACTTTTCTTAATTGCTAAGGATCACATTTCAGAACACAGTTCAGTTGACATGCAGCGCAGGATTCTGTACAAAGATTAAGATACCTATATTTAGATGCCTCCATGCCCATTCCAGCTAAAGAAGACCTACACCATACAGCCAGTGGGACATGCAGATTCATCTGAGCCCAAAGCAGATACCTCTATTGTGCAGAAAAAAAATAGCTCTTTAGGCTTTAGTATGTTCTCCATTTTAGGTTTCACTAGATCTCCATTGACTATGAAGGTAGCCCAGCGCGAATTCACACGGAGACATCTACATTTAGATTTCTCAGGCTACGAGAGGAGTCCTGTCCATAGCCACCCATTTAAACTGCAGGACTTGAAGGAGTGTCTGAGTCTCAGTTCGGAATAGAAATTACTTTAACATGAGATATGATACTGAAAACAAAAATGAACCAATTGTTTGATCCAAACACATAACTTTCAGAAAACAAGAATCTAAAGTGGTAATCTGAACCAGAAAGATCTAAAGAGAAATTAAACAGGAAAGGAGAGGAACAACAATTACGTGAATTTCTTGGCAAAATTTGCTCTACAGGGTACTGGAAAAACCAGTAAGTCTCTCTTTTTTATGCTTCATGTTCCCAAGAGAACTGTGACTGAGTCTTTCCAATTGAGACCTTACCAGTAACTCATAAAATTATTGCAGGTTAAAATGATTGGGATTTTGGGCCTCAGGTTTTGTGATTTATCTTTCTTTAATATTGCTGATACCAAAACTTTACCCTTTGGAGCAGGAGTATTGTTCAAACAGATTGCCTGTGAAGTGGGAGAACATATACAATTTAGGAAACAGCACTGAAAACTGCATCATGCAGAAAGCACTGCAGTAGAAAAGGATGAGTAAGGTTTGAGGGTAATAAATGGGAATTTAAAGTTTAATGTAGAAAATGTGGGTCTCACTCTTTACCTGATTGTCTAGTGTCCCTCTCAGTGTCTGTACAGTAAAGAATAGGTTAGCACAGCAACCTAAATGCAAAATGAATTGAATATATTTCTGAAAAAAGAAGGAAAGAGAGAGGCTAAATAAGGTGCTCTCTTTCTGCTATGTGAAGATCCAAGATCGGCTTCCACAGGAAAAAAACTGAAAGTTATTTGGAAGGAATCAAGTTATACTGAGTATCTATCAAAATGTCCGATCTACTCAGAGGGTATCAGGGTGGCTTAAAATTCTGAAGCCAAATTGCGACGATGACACATTTTCCCCCTCCCCCATTCATATATGGATCTCAAAGGAAGAGAGAGTTGAGAGAGAGCCATTTGTAAAAAATCATTTTGCCAAGATGTTCACAGTAAAATATTCCTTAGCATTTACAGTTCAGTCCTTTAACTCTTGTCATTACCTGTATGGAGCTGCCAGTTCAACATGAAGTTCCCTGTGGAAGAGAATAAATACACACTATTGAGGGGTAACATTTATGTTGTATTTCAAAACCAAAGCTGTTCTATAAAACCATTAAGTGATGTTAAAAAAAAAAAAAAAAACTGTTTTGCAAATAATACCACCATTGACTGAATTCTCCAACGTTTACTTTTATTTCATGGTTTAACCAATGACTGAAGCGGGGCTATGCTGGGGAAAAGTCGATTTGTCGAGTACACGGAGGCATACCGCATGCAGCGTGAGGAGGGTAAGGCAAACGCGGGAGCCCGCAGAGGGGCAACACGATGCCATCCACGAACCCCCACGCGCAGACAGGGCACGGCGGGCTGGGCCAGCAGAGCCACTGCAAGGCAGCGCACATAGCAAACGCCCGTCTTTCTAGCAAACGCAAAGATTTCTTCAAGCGGTGAGACCAGCAAAGGCACAGTAATTTATATTTCCAGAGCTGGGCACCGGTAGCGACGCCGTCAGCAGGGAGGAGGGCAGCGGCTCCCCGGCCTCATGGCGCTGAAGGTCCCGGGGGGGGGGGGGGGGCACCGGGCGGGCC